GCAAAAAAAAAAAAAAAGATAGGAAAACTAGCTGGGCATTGTGGTAGGTACAGTCCCAACTACTTGGGTGGCTGAGGCCAGGAAGATTGTTTGAACTCAGAGTTTAAGGTTATGGCAGTCTTCTTTAAAAATAATTAGGGCAGATACATTGGCTCACACCTGTAATCCTAGCACTCTGGGAGGCTAAGGTGGGAGGAGCAATGAGTTCTGTAGTTCAACACCAGTCTCAGGCAAGAGTGAGACCCCCATCTCTACTAAAAAATTAGAGAAATTAGCTGGGTATCGTGGTAGGTGCCTGTACTAGTTTCTCAGGAGGCTGAGGCAGGAGGATTGCTTGAACCCTCACAGGTTCCTAGATGCCATGACACTCTAGCCTGGGTGATAGAGTGAGACTGTCAAAAATTTAAAAAAGGACTATTTGGTCTAATTTTTCCTACATTTTTCCAATTTTGGTTCATTTTTTTTCTCTCTTTTTTCTTTTCTGCTTTCCTTTGATTAATTTTTTTTTTCTTATAGCATTTTACCCCTTCTGTTATCCTTTTAATAGTTATCCAAGAGATTCCAGCATGCACTTTTGACTTGGTAGAGTATACTTTAATCTGGCACCTCTTAACACTTCATGGACATATGAATTTAATTTCCAAAGATTTATCCTTTTTTTATTTTTGAAACAGAGTCACTTTTAGTCACCCTCGGTAGAGTGCTGTGGCATCATAGTTCACAGCAACCTCAAACTCTTGGGCTCAAGTGATCCTCTTGTCACCAGCCTTGGTCTCCCAGAGTGCTGAGATATATTGTGTTTTTAAATTCTAGAGTTCCTATGTGATAATTTTAAAATTTGTTGATTCCAGTTCTTTAATAAAATTCTTTATTTTTCTTTTTTTAGCAACATATGAATTACATACATACATACATACACACACACACACACACACACACACATATTTTACTTTGTTGCCCTCAGTGGAGTGCCATGGTATTATAACTCTCAGCGTCCTCAGTCTCTTGGGGTTAAGTGATTCTCTTGCTTCTATCTCCTGAGTAGCTGGGACTACAGGTGCTCACCCCAGGGCCCAGCTAGTTTTAGAGACAGGGTCTTACTCTTGCTCAGGCTGGTCTCGAATTCCTGAGTTCAAGCAATCCACCCACCTCAGCCTCCCAGAGTGCTAGGATTACAGACTTGAGCCACTGCGCCCAGCCCCAGTGCACTGTTTTGATATACCTAAATATCAAATGTTGTTGCCTATTTTTTCAGTATTGTGATTATGCCATAGTGAATATTCTTGATTGTTTTCTTAGGGAAAATTCTTAGAAATAGTATTTCTGAGATGGGGTATGCATGTTTGGTTAAGTACTTTCGTTGAATTACACACTAGAAAGGTTGTATTAGTTTCATATTTCTACAGCTGTGTAAGAGAGTGCCCATTTACCTCCCTACACCTTTACTGACACTTGGTATCTTTTTTCTTAATGTGGATCACTCCGCCACCATCATCAGTATTTCATTGTGAAAAATTGCAAGCACAGAGTATATAAAGAGAATTTGCAGTGAACATTGTATACTAACCACCTAGATTCTACTATTAGTATTTTATTATATTTGTTTTATCATATATTTATACTTCTTTTTGATGTGTCTCAGTGCAAGTTGTAGTTACTAACAGAATTCTGCCTCAGAACTTCAGCACACGTTATACAAGTCTTAAGTGGATATTTGCTGAATTTTAACAAAGCATACCTGTGGGTAAATTTTCAATGATAAAACTAATATGTAGACATAAGAAAAATATGAACTGTCACATTCTGTGTTAGGTTTCTATAGCATTTACGTGTTGTAGGGTAAGTATGTGTTGTTTTTATAATTAGGAAAACGAAATAGTAAACAAATACAAGAGGTGTTTCTTATAGTGTATGTTAGGCTATGGATAAAAGGTTAAAGAGGAAGAGAGGAGAAATATTCATAAATTCACACCCCGAGCAACAATTCTGTGTGTATTTGTTTCTCTTACGTAATTGATTGGTTTTTCTGTCTTTGTCTTATTTCAGTGGATGGGGTGGCAGGAGGAATTTTGTTTCACAAACTCCTGGCTGAAAGTTTGTGTATGAGTATAATGGCAGTATCCCTGAAGTGGGAGTCAGAATATCTGGAATCTGCTCTTTGACTTTTATTTATTTATTTATTTTAGATTTTTTTCTTATATAAAATGAGAAGCTTGAGAAGGCTTTTGATAGGCTATGCATCTTTTGAAGCCATAGGTCGATTTTAGAATTGACATATCT